AAGATTAAACAATTTCATGAAAATTTTTCATAAGATTAAACAATGAAATCGACAAATGAAGGTGGTTTGCACGGTTTACACAAATGAGGGCAGTTTTCATATGATCACTCCTCTATATATATATATATATATATATATATATATATATATATATATATATGTTCCTTCACATAATAATTAACAAAATTAGAGTAAATTGTGGTTTTGTCAGTTTCACTTTTCACCCCCACAATCTTACAATTACAAGATGGCACCAGGGTTTGCAAAAACATCCAGACTTATCCCTTAGCAACCATTTTTTCGTTTTTTTTATCGGAACTTTTACTTTATTACTCGATAAAAAAACATAAGAAGCAAACCAAAGTTCTTTAATGGCAAAAGATCGATAAAAGAACAAATATATAACTCATGTAACAAAGTTTTTAATGACCGTTAGACAAAGAAATCAAATACGAACGTTTATACAAACCATGATTTATAATTTCATAACTGTAGGAACGAAACATGTTATCTTCAATAAGGGACCAAAACAAGATATTACTTTTATTTGTCGTGCCATAATCAATTTACATAAAAGAAGATAATACTAATAGAGATTAATTAATGGATGGATTTCACCCTTTCCAAGTTCTAAAATCTTGAAAAACTGGTTGGACAAAAACAAAATACACCCTAAATTGGCTTTTGCCATATATCTAAACTACAGTTAACCAAAAGAAATGGATTATGACCAAAATGGCCCTACACCACATACCACAATCACATGCAATATTAATACCTCCTCTGCTTGTAAGATCTGCAGTTGATCCCCCTCCTCCTGTTCCTGTTCCTTTTCCCTCTCCACTCTTCCCTTCCAAACTGCATTTTCAATTCAAACTCATTTTCAAATATCCATTCTATTTCTATGCATTCTTTCTTCAACCATAAGATAACAGTCAGAAAAATCCATTTTTTTTTAATTCGTGCGGATTATAAGTATAACCATTCTATTGCTTTGCATTCTTTCAGGCTACAAATATTGTTTTTCGGGCATTCTTGCATATTACAGATATGGTTAGAAAGGGTACTTGAAAATTTATAAGATATGTATGTACATCGGCTTAATCATTTGAGATCTCCAAAATTTATGAGATTCATCAGAACTTCTACCTTGAGATTTTGTTTCACGTAATTTTTTCCATCTAGGTATAATATTTAACTTAATCACTATATTAAATTATGGCCATAGCACATGATACCTTGATTCTCAGATATGTCACGGTTTAGAAAGTTCTCAACTGTATTCCATTGATTAGGAACCAAAAGACCATCCATCCATAACGCATCACGTGACATATTCATTATGAAATGTTTTATTCATGATGAATAATACTTTCATATTAATAAAAAAGAGGAACTCAATGTGATTTTATGAGTTCCTAATCAATTTTGTTTTCCCAAAGCAACTTCTCTATATATGTATGTATGTATATATACACACACACCCAAACCTTAACCTAATTTCATATTTACTAGCATACCCTTTGATCCAACCATTGTAGTTGATAAATACTATAGTTATTTCCATGCATTCTTGGTGATTAGAGTGTTCAATTTTTTCAAATTGGATTCGATGCTATAAATGGTATTGTAAATTAAAACCAAAAATAACGTACCTTGATGGGAATTTGCAATGGGTATGACCTGAAAAATCAAATTAATTCTTATTAAAATTAAATTCAAGTAGAAATTTGAAAAAATTAAATTTCTTTGGGAGAAGAAAGAAGGGAAAGCATACTTGGGTCAAGGGAAGTGAGGGCAGCGGTATTGGCAAAATTGCAGGTATCTTCCGACATTCCGTTCTTGGTACAGTAATCGTTGAACGCATACGACGCCGTTCTCCTGATGTCTGCCGGATCGTAGCAGGGTCCACCCTGTTGGATGAGTGTACAATCCGCTCCACCGGTCCCACACGCCCAATCGATTGCAGATTGAAGGGCGGAGTCGTCGGCGTTGTTCTTGGCCACACACCAGAGTTTGATTGAAACGCCGGGCGGCTGTTGTTGGCGGAGAGTAGTGAGTGGTGGGGAGGATGCGGCGGAGTAGAGGGGTATTGCGGTGGCGATGAGGAGGAAGAGGCGAAGAGAACGAGAAAGTTCAAGAGCCATGGTTGGTTGGAGTAAAGATTCGAAGAAGTGTTAGAAGAGTGATTGAGGGTTTGTTTTTTTACAGGGAATATGACCGTTGGGTTACAGAAAGAGATAGATCGTCTGTGCAATGTAACCGCTGTTATCTATGTCGTCTGTTGGTTTCTACCGTCACATGACAATACATTATCTATATCTATATGTGTATCTATATATATATATATATCTCACTCTATCTCTCTCTCTCTCTCTCTCTTTATATATATATATATATGAGAGAGAGAGGGGGTTCAAAAGAGAATCTTGAGAAAGGATAATGAGAAAACCCCGTTGGATCTAAAAAATAAATGATTCAGATTTGAATATAACCATCCCGATATTCGTCCTAATCCTACGTGAACTTGAACCTACTTTTAAATGAGATATACTGTTTATAGTAAACGTAAAGATAATTTATAACTTTTTTGACCATTTGTTAAGAATAATGTGGCGGGAAGATTATCGAAGAAAGCCACAAACCGGAACGTGCGAATGGCGTAAACGGGTGAAATGACAAGAATTTCATCAAGCACAAAACACATGAACACAAAAACACCTGAAAATTATGCAACTACTTTCCTAGAAGCTACTAAGATATGGAAACATTAAAGCAGATCAAATTTACCATCAACAATGGCCAGCAGAAAAGCTTGGTTTGCCCTTTTGGGATGTATGCTGTGTAGCATGGTCCGACAAGCAACATCTCACGAGCCTGAACCACCAGGATATGACTCGACCCATATGCGGCACAGGTACCAGGAGTGGCTGCAAAAACATGGGAGAACATACCAAAGTAGAAAAGAATGGGAAGTGAGATACAGTATTTACAAATCTAATCTCGAGTATATCGACTATATCAATTCGCAGAATGCTTCCTACAAGCTCGTGGACAACAAATACGCTGACATGACCAACAAGGAATTTCACGCTATTTACTTGGGTTATAAAAGTTACGAATATTCGGGTTTGGCCAAGCCCATCAACATCACACAGGATTTGCCAGAGAATGTAGATTGGCGAGAGAAAGGCGTTGTGACTCAAGTCAAAGATCAAGGCCGATGTGGTACAAAATCCGTACATTTAAGCAGACAGGACAGGAATGGACGGGACGGGCAAGGGTGAGGGAGATGGGTGAAAGAATTATGCAAGGTTTTAGGGTTTTAGTTTCACATGGGTAGTTTAGTAATTTATCAATCTTGTTCCATTTCAAACATTTTTGTCCCACTCGGTCCTTAACTATCCCAGTCTTAAAGATGCACCGAACATGAAAAAACAAGTTTTTGTCCTGTACCGTGTACCAAAAATTTATGCTTTTTGGAGCACCAATGTCATAATGCCATGCCTTTCAATTACAGGAGCTTGTTGGGCATTCTCTGCTGTAGCAGCAATTGAAGGCATCAACAAAATAAAAGGAGGCAATTTGACGACTCTATCAGAACAAATGCTGGTCGATTGTGATGTCAACAACGGAAACGAAGGATGTCGTGGAGGTCTCATGGAGACAGCATACAAGTTTATCATAAAGAACGGTGGGATCACGACAGAGGATGATTACCCCTATGTAGGCAGAGACGATGAATGCAACAAATCAAAAGCTAAAGAACATGTAGTTGCATTAAAAGGATACGAAAGGGTACCTGCTGATGACGAGAAGAGTCTGCAAGCTGCAGTGGCCAAGCAACCCACATCGGTTGCAATTGATGCTGGCTTTCTATTTCAGGTCTACTCCAGTGGGGTTTTCTCGGGTTACTGTGGAACCAACTTGAATCATGGTGTAACCGTGGTTGGCTATGGAGAACAACATGGAAGGAAGTACTGGATTGTTAAGAATTCATGGGGCAGTGACTGGGGTGAAGATGGTTATGTGAGAATCGAACGTGGAACTAGAGATTTGAGAGGTAAGTGTGGTATTGCAATGCAAGGTAGTTACCCTGTCCTGTCTTAGTGTCATCTTGTAACCATGATCAGTCTTTATCTATCTAAATAAACCAAACAAACTCGCTATATCCTTACCTCTATCCATGGGGCAGACACACTGTTTCTTTGAAGACCCATTGGCTTGTGAAAAAGATTTTTGTGATTTTTTTCTTTTGAAAAGCTAAAGAAATGCTAAAAATGAGTAGTAACTTATTATAAATCGGTACCTGAAGTTTCATTCATTCAGACTCCAAAATTAAGTTGGAAACCATACTATGATTACATTAGATGACCCTGCGGCAGCAAATAAACAGGATGATGCCATGACATGATGACGATGAAGATGATGATGATGATATAAGTTATAATCAAATAGCAACAAATTTGGCAAAGGAGAAGCAAAACCTACAAAGTGTCTATACAATTAAGAACGGAGAGAAAAAGATAAAGTGAGAAAACCAACATTTTAGCAAGAAAATGAGTGTACCCCAGATTACCCTAACTCCCAATTCTTGTTGGAAACTAATATTGATGCAAAGTTAGCTGCTAATAATGGAATGATGATGTATCTATGAAACTTGAGTAAATAAAACACTACTTCACATGATTCGATCACCATTTAAGATAGGGTGATGGTGTACTTTGCAACATACAAGAGGATAAGTAAAGCTATCATGAAACTATGCAAATATTACTCAACCCCAGCATTATCTACTTAAACACAAGAAAGTGACCACAAAATGGTCAAAAGATTTTCTGAAGCTTGTCAAGGCCAAATAAATTTATGTTCTTTCTGTAGAAATTTCTGAAAATATTGTGGAACGCTAAGACGTCAGTTCTGTGAACTTCTTCCTAAGAATATGGGCAAGCTCCAATTCACCAGCATCAGCCAATCCTTCAAATACCTTGTGTCTCACCTTTATATATGGTATAAATCCTCTGTTTGTCATTTGCATAACAACTTTCCCTGCTAAAACAAACAAACTGGATTCTAAACACATCTCAACAACCAACTCATAGCTCTCAAAGCCGATATGTATATTCGTTTCTTCTAGAAAATTTATCAGCTCAACTGCTTTATGAGCATCTTTGTTTGCCCGCATTGCTTTTAGGACCTTTACCACCATCTCTTTCCTGGGGGATAATCTGAACTTAGATACCATCTCCCTCATTAGTTCTTCAATGTATTTTGTCTTTCTAAGGTCACAAAGTGGACCAATGACCGAGCCGAAACTGTCCAAATCAGGAACACATCCAGCCCTACCCATTCCACGCAATACCTGAACTCCTTCCTCATACTGATCAACCTTGCATAGTGATGAAATAAGGTAGTTGCAAATGCCATTGTCAGGCCGATACCCAATTGTTTGCATTTGCAACAGCATGCTAGAAACAGCCTGATCAGATTGCATTCTTTGATGCAGCCAGACAGTGGAGAGAAGTAGGTGAGTTTGAGGAACAGGGGCACAGCCTGACCGAAGGGTGCGTTGGAGAATTGCAAGTGAAAGTGGAAGAGGATTAGCAGTTTGCAGGGTGAAAGAGAGGAGGTAGGCATAGGCAACTTGAGGGCGAGAACGAGGCCTTAGAGGAACAAAACCTTGCAGAACCTCATCAATTATTTTGGTTCTATGGTCTTGTTGAAAGTTTGAGAGGAATGAGAAAGGATTGGAGGTTCGACAAGTTTCCTTTGAGGCACTGAGAAGGTCAGCAATTTGCTGGTAATTTTTTGCTTCAATGGCAGCTTTAACAGATTGTTGAAGCAACAGTTGTGATGAAACTGAGTGGATGGGGGAAGAAAAATAAATAGAAGGGCAAGAAAAGGAACAGAGTGGTTTACATAGCTTTGCCACTGCAATTGCCATAGCTTGATGATTATAGCATCATGTGCTTTATGCAATGTTTACCCTGCGGATAACAAGGAACTAAACAAGGTAAGATAACATACTTGCATGCTTCCAATTCACCAATTCACTTTTGGTATTGGTATTGTGCCATTGCATCAGATTTTTGCAATAAAAATTTGCTAAAGAATATCAATGTAGATAAAGTAGCATCTCTAATAAAACTTATTCATGTTCGTTGTTTCATAGAAAGATAAGTACATAAATTTCTGAATATATTTAACCTATTGCACTTCTCTATGTAAATAGAATGTGTGTCATTGGAAATGAAGGTAGAGATCGTTTTTGACTTCATCAATAGGCTTACTTGATTTTTGACAATCACCAAAGACAAAAGAAAACACACTTGATCTTAAAACTGTTTGTGAGATCCTGTAACCAGAATTCTATTTTCCATGGCCTTTTTTGCTGTTGTTTTGGTCTCTTTTGACCTGCATCTGTGTCATGCTCAACTATGTAGCGTATATAAGTCCTGAACGATCCCATTTACTAGGTCTTAGTTCTGTGATAGTCTAGTAACATTATCAATTCAAATGAGAGACAATATAATTTGTTTTAATGATCATAGTTAACTGTTTGTAAAAGTTACCCTGATATCACCTTTTCATAATTTCTACCAAGTCTCATCGTTTAGTTGGTCCCCGTTACCCTGGATAAGGTCCTAATGAATTGATTGATTTGTTGTATATTAAAGCCTTTGGTACTGCTGCATATTGTAAAACAAATGTTCCTAATTGGGTGCTGTTATTTAACTTGGTTGTGTTAGTTGGGATTACATTGTTGATACAACTCATAATCTTCTTGAACTAGTGGAGAAGAATGCACAGCTTTCAGTGGATAATTCAAATCCAATAAAAGTAGATGACAAGAACCTAAAGTTTAATGTACATTTATGATTATCCTCTTTTAGTTTGTTTATAATTATGGGTTAGGATCATAATTTTTCAAGTTCAAATGGTTTTTTACTCTATATGTTTGATTTGTTAAGTTTATATCTATTATGATCATCTGGTTTTACTTTTTATATGAAAAAGAAGTATCAGACAAGTCAGGCATTCTAGCGAACACTTGGCGTACATAACCAATGAAGTCTGAAAAGCTATAATTATAGTCGTATATCTTTCATCAACGACAACAGTGTAGACAAAACAGAAAGAGGATTGAGCACGAAGAACGACAGAATCAAAATCCCAGTTCATATGGTAAGCAAAAAACAAAGAAGAGAGCGAAATTTCCATAACCAAAACAAATAACTTCTGTTCACAGAAACTAAACAACATATACATCAAAGCATATTAGAAACAATACGAAATCATAGAAACTGAAAACAGATAAATGAAACCGCATCTTCATACCTCAAATCGCACATGGAGAGGGAGAGTGACGAGAACAGAGCTCGAGTTCTTACTCTGATTATGCTGTAATTTAAAAAAAGCAGTATAAAATCTTAAAAAAAGGGCTAGCAAACACTTATCAGTAAATTTTACTTACCGGGTAATATTTTGGTTCATTAAAACGATATCGTATTCAATAATTTACCCGGTAAGCGTTTCACATGGAAAGAGTCGTTCCACTCACTTACCGGATAAGATTCTTAATCTTTGTCTTGCTCTTATCGGATAAAATTTTTGATCCTTACCATATTCATCCAATGAGATAGTGTAACTTGGTAATCGTTTACCCAGATAAATATTTAATAAACGACACCTTAGTTTTAGGGTTCGAATTCGGATATTTTCATCTAACATAGATGTTAGAAATGCTCTAAGATTCTCAAATCGATAAAAATAACTTGGTCTTATTTTAGTTTTTGCTTTTTGTGAAACAAATTTTCAAATCCTATATTTAAGGATGTGTAAAAATTTTGTAAACGAAAAAAGTTACAGTTACCCGCATAACAGTGTTGATGTGTTAATTTTTCGTACAAAAAGATGCATCGACATGGCTTTTTATTTGCTTTTAAAATGGTTAACTTTGTATGTTCTTTCTATTTATAGCGTTCGTATTTGCGGCGGTGGTCAACAGTAGAACTAAGGGTGCAGGTGGTCGAACTAAGGGTGATGGTGGCCGCCGACCACCATGGTAAAATAACGAATGTTGAATGATATTAAAGAGGATCAACTTTTTAATGTCACGGCATAATAAATCAAAGTGAAGTCTAATCACAAGGGTGGTGTCTGATTGGTTTGAGCTTAGCTTCAAAGGTCAAAAGAACCAGTAGGTCTCAGGTTCAAATCCAAACATGGACGGACCTAGTATAGGGCATACGATGGCACGTGCCACCGTATTATTCCTCTGTCGAAAGGTAAAAAAATTTAGGTTTGTGAAAGGTACAACCATATTAATTTGTTATGTGTCACCATATGTATTTTGAAACTATAATGAGAAAGTTTTATTTGATAGAGTTGGTTTTTAAGGCTTTTATTTCACCTCAGACCCAAGTTCGAATCATGTTAGTGTCATTTTTTTAGTCAAATGATGTCACTGTTTGTAAAAAAAAATTGTATATTTCTTTCTTATTGTCAAACGGTGTCACTGTTTGAAAAAAATTCTCTATATTTTTTTCTTATAGTCAAATGGTGTCACCGTTTGAAAAAAAATCTGGGTCCCTCCCTGAATCCAAGAAGGAATAAAAATTCCCTTGTGGCCACGGAGGTTCAAATGCGGTGACTCCAGGCTATTTGCAAAGCAGGTGGTCACCCTGTGATTAGTCGATTCGCATACCGGGTTGAATATCCAAGTTAAAAAAAAAAATCGATATTTGATTTGGTTTATCGTGACCAACAATTAACCTACAAATTGCAAAATAAAAAAGTAATTTAACGCGTTCTTAAATGACTCCGTGCCGCCGCGATGGCAGCAACTCTTTTGTTTGTGTCTTCACCAATTAAATAATGGGGTCCAAATTTGCGATCAAAATCTTGCAAAAATTCACCGTCGCATCAACGTTAACGGAAATCAGTCCTCCATTACATGCATATATAACTACATTTTAACTGCAAATTAAAGATCATCAAGTCCCAAAACTCATTAGCCGAGCTGCATCTGGATTACTGGTAGTGCCCAACCTTTTGCACAGTCAAGGGTCCATGGACGGACCACATCATAATAGTGTTAACCCGCTCTATGTTGGGATTCTTGGGGTCATTTCGGGTTCGATTCTAGTGGCTTTTATCCACTGCATAGTCGTTAATTGTCGCCATAGGAGTCTTGAAACCACCACTTCGCCACCTAGACCACCTGAAATGCACCGACGTCCAAGGGTCCGGGTTGACCGTGACTTCACCGCCCGCTTGTCATTCCCTAGTACTAGTAGTGGCTCGAGCTCAAGTGGGAGGTCGTCAATCATGTTAACCGTTCATAAGTACTCCAAAGAGTTTAAAGAAGGGACGTGTGTGGTGTGTTTGGGCAAATTTGAAGAAAACGAGGAGGTTAGAATAATGCCGGAATGTGCACATGTTTTTCACGTGTCGTGTATTGATATGTGGCTTTTTTCGCACACTAATTGCCCTCTTTGTCGGGCTAATGCTACTCCTCGGACGCAAGATGTTCTTTTATCAATCATGAATTCTACGACCGTCGTTTAACGGTGACGACATCATTTGGACAACTTACGTGTCTTGAATTCAAATCTCACACTTTTGTATTTTTCAATCAGCATTTACAACAATATATTGACATAACAAAAGCTTCGAAGCTATAACTAGGTTACGAGTAAAGCTCAACCTCCTAAGAGATCAAGGGAGTATGCATGAATATTTGTCGTATATCCTTCAAAAATAAGTTCCCTACATCATGTGACTCATCTTAAACCATGGATGCTGTGTATGTATACATATATACATGCATGCATGCATGCATACATACAAAGTGACAAACATAACCCAGTAAATCTCAAGCAGGTAAGGTTTGAAGGTACGATGTACACAGACCTTTTATATGTGCAGAGAGGTTGTTTCTGTAGACATAGTGGCAACAAAAGTGGCAAATGAACTGATATAATTATGAAATCACTTCAGATATATATTTTGCATGAACTGATATAATTGAGAAATGAGATCATACCAAGATCAAATTAGTGACAACACTTGATATGTGTTGATCAACGGGAATTTCTCCTCCTAGATTTGGCACGTCTACGACACAAACAAAGGAAGACTAGAAAAGCGATAAGAATCACTTGTACGATTGTCACAGTCTTCAGACCTGCAATCATTTACATGATACCATTACTATACAATGATATGCCATTTGCATATTATAACGGATTTGAGGAAAAGGCGTACCATTTGATGTTTAGAGTCAAATAAACAACTATTTCAGCTTCAAGTCCGATATTGTTGGTTACGGTAGCCAAAATAATTAACTACGCAACAAGTGTACATATTTCTATTTTAGTTTATCCCATGTCCACTTTCAAAAGTAAAACTGCATATTTTCCAATTCTACCCTTGATTATAAGATGGAGAAATTAAATACTCCCTCTGTTAGTAAGGGTAAACTTCTTATCTAGTTAAGTATAAAGTGTAACACTTGTACATTTCTAAAATCATGTGCCCTTTTACATTGTGGACATTAATTTTGGGAGTTGGGACAAAGGGAAGTGAGATAGGTGAATGATTCGACCTTACAAAATAGAGTATATAACAAACCAAACAAAACAATTCTAGTACATTCCACCCAAGGGTGGGGTTTGGGGGTGGAATATATGCAGTCCTGACCTCTAACTCAAGGAGTAGAGCGATTGTTTCCATGAAGACAAAAGTCAAAAGTATATGTAGCTCATTATTTGGAACTTAGGCACGTTAAAGATCCATGTGTTACCTTGGAGCTTCTGGCTCGTGTCTTCCCCGGTAAGTCCAACCCTGTTGCGTTTGGTGCCAGCAGAACCAAATCTAGTGACTCTAGATCCATAATTTATCGTCTTATATTCGGCATGCCCACCCATGACACATGTATTAGGACAGAGAATGCTGCCATCATATTCATCGCTTCCATCACAACAGTCTGTGGTGAAGAAAAGATATAAAATGTAAAATCAACAAAGATGTTACAAGTGATTTTTCTTCTCAAGGCTCGGAGATTATAAACCATTACTTATGCAAATATATCTTCCATAATTTATATCCAACCTATATAATATTATTGTCATAGAAATGATAAAGTAGACCAATGGATAAACTTCATATTGGATTTTCAAATGGGAAATTGTCCAAAATAGCCATTCTGGACTCACCAATTCATTTTATAGCCGCCTTTCTACTCAATTGTCCGAAATAGCCAAGATTTCCAAAGTAGCACTTTAGCAACTTGCATAACATTCATAAAGTAACACTTTAGCAAGTTGCTAAAGTGCTACTTGCGAAATGCCGATGTCCCAAGTAGCACTTTAGTAAGTTGGGCAATTAGCACTTCCACGTCAGCATTTCGCAAGTAGCACTTTAGCAACTCACATAATTGTTTTTTTATGAATATTATATTCATTAAAAATGGATTTCGCAAGTTGCTAAAAAGCTACACGTGAAATCTTGTCTATTTTGATCAGTTATGTAGAGAAGTGGCTATAAAGTGAAAGGGGGGGGTCAAAAATGGGCTATTTTGGACAATTTCCCTTTTTGAAGTGAGGAAGAGCACAAGCCAGCAATAATTTATAAGGGCCGGGGAGCTATAAGTGCAGTTTATCAAAAGAGTCAATGTTGTAATTTATCAAACGAAACGAGCCTATTGGCGTATACAAGGGATATCATGCCCAACAAGAACGACCTGCTGATGACAATGTGAGGGCTTGTTCAGTACGGTTAAAGGAAAAGTAAAGATAGGCAAATAAACTAAAGAAGCATACCACAAATTTGGTCATTCACACGAGAAGAGAATAAAAACCGAGGTGCACTTCCTGCATTCCTGCAATAGAACTTACCAGCAGGGCAAGCTGCTGTTCCTGCATGTCATGAGAAAAGAGTGAGTCATGAAAAAGTTTAGAAGATCTATTTCTTGTCGAATAAATTTTGCTTCAATTGTTTTTAATTTATCGACTGAACCTTATCTTTGGGATGTAGGAATAACAAAACAAATGCTGGTTTTTTAGTGTCATCAAGCATTTTGGTGTAAATGTGATTTGCAAATGATCGACTAGGTGACAAGGCATACATAAAGTGAGCTAGGAGGTGTGGAGTGCACACTCACAAATATTGCCCCTATCAGTCTATCATCTTAGATCACCATAAGGCCGGGGTCAAGGGGGTTTTGCCCCCTTGCTGGTGAAACTCAAAAGGTTAGAATCTTTATTTAACTTTGGTCAAAGACTTGGTATTTTGGAGAGGGAGTATGTTACAGGTAACTAAAGACAATTTGCAATTCACGCCAAAATGGTAGGATTATAGGATTTCTTCAAAGGATCGACTTTCGAGAGGTCGATTTCTCTCCAATGGAATTGTTATAAAAAAGAATGAATGAATGAATACCCTACTTCACCACACAGACTCTGTTTTATACTCCAGCGCCCTTCCCACCTATTTTCACTATTTTTCCCGCCCAAGATGAAAATACCATAAAACCCCTGTTATTTCTTCCTTCTTGAATGTGTATGCAATATCGGAACAGAGTATGGAATCAGAAGCCTCTGAGTCTGCTTCAGAAGCTTCTGATTGTGAATGGTTATGACTCAGAGAGTCAGAGCTTCTAAGTTGCCTCTGATCCATTTCGACCTTATCCACAAGCGGTTGCAACTGTTGTGTGGTTATCTAATAATTGTCCGACTACCCCTAACAGTCGATCTCTCATATAAATATACAAAACATTTAATCTAAGGTGACATACTCTAGTTTTCCGCCTTCAAAAACGAGAGCGAAATACTTGGATTTTGTGAAACCTTAGGCTGTAAAGGTTTAATCAAAATATAGCACTTGGAAAGTGCAATTGATACAGACTTTATCCAGTTTCTTAACAGCAACCATGTTAAGTAATTTTTATTTGTATAGAACAAAGTGAAACAGCTTATGTGTAGATGCAATGTGTTGAATCATTTAGAGCATAAATGCATCTTCTCCAAGTTTAAATATTGATGAGCCACATATTCACCAAAATTTATAAAAATAAACACAGAAGAGATATAGATAAAGAAAGCTCCACGGTAGGAGATAAGCAAAGAAAACCTAGTAATTCCAAACAAAATAATTTATGTGTTTTCAGATGCATTGTAATTAGGGCATTTGTTGCAAAGTTTACGTAATTGCCAATGTATTACCAGAATCTTTAAAATTCTAATCAATTTAGGTCTGGGGTCAATTAGGGTTCGAACCATACCAGGTTCATCAGTCCCATCGATGCAGTCGCAAAATTCGTCGTTAATACGATCTCTAGTGAAAGAATTCGATCCATCTTTGCACTTGATCACCTCTGAAACAAAGTACTTCTCATCTGCAAAACAAAGAGATCAAATTAACCGAGAAATCAGCGACATATTTATATAGATAGCACACACACAGACGCAGACGCAGAGAACCTAGAGGGTGGATTCCGATAGGTACATTTGAAGAATCGGAGAAAGCCAAATTGAAAGAGAGAATGAAGCAGACAGTGAGGAGAAGTCCAAAACTAGGTGTCTCCATAGGAGCCGGGGGGCAAGATCTTTGAAGACTTTTACTTAGGAACCTCCATTAGAGCTTTGGACAGAAGACTAGACTTCCATTCTCCAATGGAATCAACGAGTTTGATCAAAGTTTATAATTCTTGTTGGATGTTTTGTAGTTGAGATTGTTTATAAAAACAATTTATTGATTTATTTTGGTGTGGTATAGGTAATAAGTATTTTTGAGTGTTTTGATAAATAACTTATTCTGGTGTCAAACCGGTAACAAGAAGTTTTTGAAAAAGTTAAATTCTTCTGACTTATAATAAGTTGATAAGTGTTTTTGCAGAAAAACTTAAGTTGTTTCAAATAAGTAATCTCACACCACCTTATTGTTTTTCTTTTTGTACTCAATATTATTGGTATAAATCTTTGATGTATATTTTTGAACCGAAATTTACTTAAAAAGACGCGTTAAACTATTAAACCGAGTTCAAGATTAGGCTACTAATCGTTACGTTGTTGTCGATATTAACTTGATAGTTTGTGGTCACATCATTGAATACTTCGTTAGTTAATTGATTAATGCCCGAAACGTGCCAACAATTTCATTGTATAATTTTAATAATTAGTTTCTTATAACTGTTGTCTAAACGCTTCTTCATATGCATGATGATTTGCCCGACACAATAGGAAACCAGATTCACTTGTCTCGATCGAGACTGGGGATTCCTCGCTACGCGAAAAGCGGGGATGGGGTTGAGGACGGACTTAATAAATATTAATCTAATATATTATATATGATATATTTAGTTTTGTGGTAAAAAAAAGTCAAAATTAGTTTTAGTCTTTACTCTTTAGCGTTATAGTCATTGTTCCTCCAAAGAGACCAAGACCATCGTTATGCCATCATTAATTGATGGTTTGAGTTGTCATCAGTTGATGATGAACTGATTGAAACCCATTGAAACTGATTTAGTAATTATTTGTTGTGCTGGAATGGGCCTACAACGGGTATACTGTGGATTTGTAAATGGGTCTGAAAACAAGACGGGGAAGGGGGGCTGGATCGGGGTTTGACAGGGCTTTGACCAAGGAGGGATTTTATTCCGCAACTGGGGGTGGGGATCATTACCAAAAATTAAGGTCGGGGACGGGAATCATTACCAAAAACCGGTGCCAGGGCGAGAGATTGTATACCTCACCTCATCGTCACCCTTTTGAAGGCTCTGATATATTAAAACTTTTACTTTTACAAAGATACATATATACAGATTAGAGAGGTGATGATGAGACATATTACCTTTGTCTTCTGATAAAAATTAAAGAGGCACTAAAGGTGAACTATAGTTCTGCATTCATTGATGAAAGTCCCTAAACAATGAAAAAAATGGACCCTAAAATTTTGGAGGTCCTGTTCAAAATCACACATTTAACATACGGATAATGAGTCATAGATTATATAAAAAGAATTATAAATAAATTCATTAAGGGGCTGTTTGTTTGGCTCTTAATGGTTACATTAAGAATCAACCTCTTAATCGGTAAGAGGTCAAGGTTATTTGGCAAAAAAAAAAATGGCTCTTAATGATTACATTACCCCTCTTAACCATTCTGCATCTAAGGGTTCTCTAAACCATTCAGACCTCTCTTTTTCCATCTTTGCCCTCTCTTCCAATGTTCCTCACACATCGCTCACAGCCCCTCCCCCCACCCTACGATCGCCGGTCTTCAAATCCCTCCCCCCACACACGATCGTCGGTCTTCAAATCGCTCCCCCCCCACCCTACGATCGTCGGTCTTCTTTTTCCAGCAGGTCTCACGTTGCCTTCTTCCAGCGCCGTCTGTCGTCGCCGCCTCTCGTCGCCGCCGCTTGTCGCCGCCTCTCATCGCCGTCTGCGGTCTCCTCCATCCTTTTCCTCGCAAGCTTTAGGTATTTCTGCCCCTACTCTCTGATTTTGGTGAACTGTAGTTATCTGGATGGGGTTATTCCGCCCCTACTGCTTCAGGTATACCCAAGGAAAAGAAAACAACAGATTATTATCAATGTAGTTATCTAGACATGGTTATTGATTTTCCAGGAAACCAACAGAAATTTCATGGGGTTATGCACTGTATGTTGAAATTTCATGGGGTTATGCTTTATCTTTTCACAAGCCTACTATATGTGCACTGAAATTTCATGGGGTTATGCACTGTATGTTGAAATTTCATGGGGTTATGCTTTATCTTTTCACAAGCCTACTGTATGTGCACTGAAATTTCAGAGGGTTAAAATGATAATTTATTGTCATTCAGAGAACAGTTACCAAACAACATTATTTCATTCAGCACTTAACCATTCTGACCCTCTTAACCATTCTGACCACTTAACCATTCAGCAACCGACAAACAGCTCTAAAATGCATAATGATTACCATAAGTAATGCATGATGAACAAGCGGGGAAAAAAAGTTAACGGACACGTGACGGTAAAAACGGTTGTTATCTTTACGAATCCGTATTCCGTACCAAATGTCAACTGATTGGCGATTGCAATATTTACCAAATCCATTCTATGTATATTCGAGTTTAACCCATCCTCTTTTTCTTGATCAATTTTAGACCCCGAATCTTTGATTTATTACCAGTTAGTCCCTAAGGTTTTCAAAGACTATATATGGGATGAAAAGTGAATTGCAAAAAGAACTCAAACTTGTTCAAGATAAAAGAATGTTGATTTGGTCCTAGTTCGATTCTTGTTTTATAACCATATAGTCTCTGGTTGAAATGTCGAACATGGAATTAAGATTTTCTAATACATCTATATCCTTGCTATACGTACATACATACATACATACATATACACTTTTCAACTTTCAAGTATCCAAAAAATTAGGAAAAACTAAATGCATTAAAAGGGTGTTTAGGATTGCTTAAAAAAACAACTTATTGACTTATTTCGGTGTGACATCAGTAATAAACATTTTTTAGTGTCTTGTATAAATAACTTATACCGGTGTCAAACTGGTAATAAGAAGTTTTTGAAGAAGTTAAACCATTCTAACTTATAATAAGCTGATAAGCACTTTTATAGAAAAACATAAGTTGTTTCAAATAGGCAATCTCAAACACTCCTTAAATGTTTATTTTCATCTGTTTGATGGTTTGGTACGAGATTGACCCGAGCAAGAGTGTTGAAGTATATGAATCATAATTCGAATCATATGTTATCAGTTTCTATTTCGATTGGACTTATTCTAAAAATATTGGTTTGAACAGATAATCCACGTTCACATATTTATGTCGCAAGCAAATCTAAACGAAAAAGATGATTGATCAAATATCGACTTGTGAAATATATAAATACTATAAACTAAACATCTTGTATTCAATTGAAAGAACTGTTAATAGGGGATTCATTTTTCTTGTCAAAACAAACCATTATCGCACACGGATAAAGTATTTCGGGTCTAGATTGCATTTGCTAAAATCTTGGGGGGTTAAGTTGAATTTAGTTGAACATATATACACACACCCTTCGTCTTCATGTGAACCACCTACACATACCCATAAAAACCCTAAATTATTTATGAATAATACTCAATCTTTCCATGCATAATTAGACCCCCTCCACCCCCCGCCCCCACAATATTTCTTGGTAAGTCTACTTCTCTTTTTGAATCTTTGTATTTTATTCAAGAAACACCCTTTTCATTCTTGTGTAAACAAATGTGTATATATGAAAGATATCTTGTTTAGTTTTCTGATACGCACATGGGATCAAGATCTTGGTTATATATAGACCCAAATAATCATACTTGTTAATATTTTACCCTAAATCATTCAAATAATATTCTTTCATTCAAGGTTTTTTCTTGATTAATTCTTGATTTATATAGAGACACACCCAAAAGATGCAGAAGAGTCACAACAGTACAATCCCCAACGCCACCCTTAGGGTTCTTGAGGCTGCACCCTCCCCATCTCCTCCACCCACCACCAGCGGCGGCGGGGTTCCAGCATGTGCATCATGCCGCCACCAGCGAAAGAAGTGCACAGAAAAGTGCGTCTTGGCACCCTTTTTCCCGGCGGAGAAAACCCAAGATTTTCAGGCGGTTCATAAGGTTTTCGGGGTTAGTAATGTGACCAAGTTGGTGAAGGATTTAAGACGCGAAGACGGAAAGAAGGCGGTGGATTCGCTCATCTGGGAAGCGAATTGTCGGCTTAAAGATCCGGTTTTAGGGCCATTGGGAGAGTTCCAAAGGGTTTCAGAAGAACTTAGGGTTTATAAAGCACAATATCAACAAGCCATACATCATCATCATCATCTTCGTCAAGTTCCCATCACGCAGAGTGGGGTTTTGTATAACAACAAGTCTGGACAACAACGATTGATAGGATCTTGGAATGGTGGTGACAGCAATGGAATCAACAATGGTACGATGTTAGATTACATTCATAGCAACGGAATCGGTGGTGGTGGTGGTATCGATAATTCTCGAATGTTTAACTATGCATCTTTGCAAAATATGGAGAAATTAAAGCAAGAACGAGATCAACAACAGGGTTCTTTGATTCATCCTCAGCAGCAAATCATGAATGAGTTCGGTCAATTTTACTAACAAAAGGTACGTATCTGTGTATTCACTTGTCTACTTTTCTCTTCATTAAATCCCATCTGTTTCGGCTTATCGAACAATATACATTACAGAAATTGAACTCAATTAAAACTTGTAGGTTATATCACGAATTGAATCTTTACATCAATTAATCTTAATCTTAATGGACTTATTTTGAAAAGAAATCCGAGTGGTTTAATTAATCCTTATCTGTATTGGTTTATCGAATAACATACAGACTTAATTAGAATTTGAATTCAAGACTTTTAGGGTTTAGTTTATATCAGAAGGGTACTCGTGCAATGCAACGAGATAAATCTTTATTTGAATGTTTAGTTTTTATTCTTCTCTATCGATATAATACGATTTTATATGGTTTTGAGAAAACGATAATGTTTTTATTTTTGAATGAGATATAAATTTAAAACAAAATCGATATTAGTATCAAATTAACTATTTAATAATTCTCGGTTTTTTTGGTGTAACTTATTTAATTCAGTTTTTTTAATTATTATACGTTAATTTAGATTTAATAACAAAATAATTTGTTTTTGATTTAATAATATTTTTATAAAAATAATAATTAAAAATTCTGTTAGAACTCAATGATTATCTTAATTATAATTTAGATTTTTTATATTTAAAATGAATGTTTATCCTGTATTTGATTATGTTTATCTGTAGTTAGTTACACGAATTAAAAAAATAGAGTTTGAATAAGTTATACTTATACAAAATTAGTTAAAAATTAGTTACACGAATTATGCTAAACCCATTTATGGATTTCTACCCTCTAAAAACTGTTTAGTTGCATAAAAATAAAATAAAATAAAATAAAACTGTTTAGTTAAAAATATTAAAGAGTAATTAATGAGATTAAAGATAAATAAATTGTTTGGTTTTATCTATATCTATATTATATTATAAATTATTTGACAAAAACTCTTAAAAATAATTTCTTACGCATGAAGTACTGTTTATTGATTCATATTACTTAAAATTCAAAATTACAAGTAATTTTACGTAAGTACAACTTATTAAAGATCTATTTTTAAATTCATATAACTAACTGTAGATAAACATAATAAAATACATGATAAACATCCATTTTAAATATAGAAAATCTAAAATATAATTAAGATAATTATTGAATTCTAACAGAATGTTTAATTATTATCTTTATAAAAAAAAATATTTTTAAACTAAAAACAAATTACTTTGTTATTAAATCTAAATTAAATTATGATGAAAAATTGAATTAAAGAAGTTACACAAAAAAAAGGAGATCTATTAAATAGTTAATTTGATACTAATATCGATTTATTTTTTTCAAATTTTCATGCTATCTTCAAATTTATATTTCATTCAAAAATAAAAACATTATCGTTTTCTCAAAACCACATAAAATCGTATTATATCGATAGAGATAAATAAAAACTAAACATTAAAATCGAGATTTATCTCGTTGCATTGGACGAATTTTCTTCTAATTATATTATAAAGTATTTACAAAAAACTTTTAAAAACCATTTTTTATTATTATTTTCATTTTCATTAATCAGTGTTGTTAAAAACCCTTTTATTGTATTTTTTTTTTTTTTACCATTAGATACTCAAAGAAGTAATTAAAATATTTTCATTAAATTATATATTGATTGCTAACAACTTGTTAATGATTGTTGTATTCAGGTATTTGCACGACACGACGACGTTTGCAATAACTTGATTGGAACATTTTTAGCTCATATCATCTTGCTTCTTTTTCTTTGATCATACAAAATGTAATATTGATTGTTTTCATTTCATATGAATTAATATTTTGTAAATTAGATAAAAATGGGTCTTTTTCTTTTTTTAAATGTATATTGTATCAAAATGAAATGTGTCTGCTTTCGTTTCACATTTTTGAAACTGTGTGCCACTATGTCAGCAAATATATACTGATTGATCTCCTTTACAATCATGAATCATCTGGAATCATTATGATTCATTGGTTACTTAGGTATTTAAATGTTTAAAACTTTACATTTTAGGTACTAAAATGAAAGTTTTGAAATTATCTAAAATATGAATCAAGTTAAAATACGTTACTTTTTTCATGCAATTTACTCGTTGAACTAAATATATAATAAAAATTGATGATAAAAAAGTATGGTTTGATTAATAAGTTGTTGTAACATAAAAATGAGTTTTTTTCATTTTTTTGTTGCTATTGAAAAAAATAGAAAGAAAGATTAGATTTGAACTTACAACCTTTACGGCACAATAACGTCACGGTCGTTGTTCTTTTTTCACCACGAAACGGGGCTATTGACATGAACCATGTATGATGCTTCGGAAATGAAATTTTAATGAAACTGTTTCATGTAATACTTAATAAAATTTTAGTGAAATTATTTCATTATTATGAAATTATTTTATATAATATTTAATGAAATTTTAATGAAACTATTTCATGTATTTCTCTAAAATTAAAATAATAAAAATGATGATAGCCATGATTAACACCCTCTACAATAAAAAAAATTAATCAATCTCTCATAATTACAAAAAAAAAAAAATGAACAAAATTAAAAATTATAATTGGTTGAATGAGGTTTGTACGATTTGTATAAATATATATATATATATATATATATATGTGTGTGTGTGTGTGTGTGTGTGTAAATTCAGCTCATGACTCGGTGCGAGACTTGCAAGTCTTGGTCAACCATCAGATCATCTATCCATTCTTTTCTCATACAAAATTTTCAGAAAATTGTGTAAAAATGGCGGAGAAAGCAAGCAAAGCGATGAGCTTACTGAAATTAGCCGAAGAAAGAGCATCGCTAAAGAAAGAACTTGACGATCGGAGAAGAAAACAACAGTTAGATTCCGTACCTTACCTTCCCAAAGATTGTGTCTCTAACATCCTAATTCGACTACCTCTCGAATCCCTTCAACGATCCAGATTCGTTTGCAAGCCTTGGTATAACATCATCCACGATCCACAATTCGTTCTTGACAATCTTCATCGAGCCGATACCGTTTTGATCTTCTTGAGTCCTGTTAATGGAGTTTTTCGCTCTCGTTTTGATCCTCAAGATTCGGTTTTCCGCGAAAACCCTAATTCCTTTTCTGTGGAATCGAAAATCTTTGAGCTAAAATCGATGAATCTGCTTCATCGACCTCAAATTCATCCATCGTTCAAGTACGCTATGAAATACATCGTTTTTGCCGATGGAAAGAGTACGATACTCGAGTTCAACGCAACATGTTTGGGAAAAATTAGGGCGAGCTGCGATGGTTTAATCGTAATCGATAACAAGTTGAAAAACGGTGAATTGGCGATCATGAATCCTGTTACTCGGAAACTGAGTCTACTTCCTCTCGGAACGATCTATCCGCCACACGATGAATCATTCGGGATGGCTCGTTGCCATGATAACGGAGGTTACAAGTTGGTTCACTTGTTTCGTGACGAATTGCATTTCATTGGGTGCGAGGTTTTACAAATTGGCGAAAAATCATGGCAGGTTATCGATGGACCATCTTTCGAGCTCCTGAAATGGTTTGGGTTCGAACCTGTTTCCGCAATGGGTGCATTACATTGGGTTCCTGAAATCAACCATAGCGAACACATAGTCTCAATGACGGTAGACGATTTGAAGTTTCACAAGATCATGCTGCCAAAAAGCAGCAGATCTAATGATCGGATACTGGAAGTATCCGGCCATCTTTGTTTCGTGGCACATGAAGAAATGAACGAAATAAGCGTTTGGATCTTGGAAAGCCTGTCGGGGGAATCATGGAAGAAGATATATACAATCGCGACCGGGTGTATAAGAGATTTGATCCCTCTTTACTTTTCGAGATTCAAGTGGGAGATATATTTCATGGACAAAGATGGTTCGGTTTTCGTGTTCGATTTCAACATCAAGATATGCGGAAAATCGCAATCGAGAAGGGAAGTTTCCCGATTCCCGAAGCATCGTACGTGGTTCATGTCAATAGCCTCGTTTCGTGGTGAATAAAGAACAATGACGGTAACGTTGTTGTGCCATAAAGGTTGTAAGTTCAAATCTAATATTTCTTTATACTTTTTCTTTATAATAACTCATTTTTATGTTACAACTTGTTAATCAAACCATACTTTTTTATCATCAATTTTTATTATATGTTTAGTTAAATGAGTAAATTACATGAAAAAATAACATATTTTAACTTAATTCCTATTTTAGGTAACGTACTTTCAGAACTTCTATTTTAGTATCTAAGATGTAAAGTTTTAAACATTTAAGGATCCAAGTAACTAGTGATTCGTAATGATTCATGATTGTAAAAGAAATCAATGAGTATATATTTGCTGATCCAGTGACACACAGTTTAAAAAGACAATACCCATTTATCTAATTTACAAATATTAATTCATATGAAATGAAAACAATCAATATTACATTTTGTATGATCAAAGAATAAGAACCAAGATGATATGAGCTAAAAATGTTACAATTAAGTTATTGCAAACGTCGTCGTGTCATGCAAATACCTGAATACAACAATCATTAACAAGTTAATAACACTGATTAATGATAATGATAATGAAAATGAAAATGAAAATAAGATAATAAGAAAATGAAAATGAAAATGAAAATGGAGATGGAGATGGAGATGAAATTTGGGGGAATCATATTCATTATATTAATACTAGAATGGTACTTACGTAATACAATAAGATATATTTAATATCATAAAATTTAAAAAAATATAAATATTAATATCAAATTAACAATCTAAAAGTTCAAAGTTTTTGTTTAATTTAGATTTAATAACGAACTAATTTATTTTTGTTTAATAATATAATTTTTTATAAATATATTAGATATTCTATAAGAATTTAATGATTATCCTAATTATTTTTCAGATTTTTTATATTTAAAATGATATGTTCATTCTTAATTTGTAGTTACCCAAATTCAAACATGGAACTCTAATAAGTTATATTTACGCACAATTTACTTGAAATCTTGAATTTTAAGTAATATGTATCAATAAACATTACTTCATGCGAAAAAAAGTCATTTTTATTAATTTTTGTTAAATGCTTTATAATATAGTATAGATAGATTAGATTGTTTATATTTAAAATAAGATGTCTATCTGCAGTTAGTTATACGAATTCAAAAATATAGTTTTAATAATTTATATTTACGTACAATTTACTTATAATCTTAAATTTTAAGTAATATACATAAATTAACGGTACTTCGTGTATAAAAAATGGTTTTTAAAAGTTTTTGTCAAATGCTTTATAATATAGTATAAGATAAAACCAAGCAGTTTCTTTATCTTTAATCTCATTAATTACTATTTAATTTTTTTAACTAAAATTTTTTTTTTGTTTTTTTTTTATGTAAATAAACAGTTTTCAGAGGGTAGAAATCCGTAAATGGGTTTAGGCCCAAAACCCGGTCCTAAGCCCGATCACTAAACCGGTTGAGGCTAATTCCTAATAACAATATTTGTACATTTTTATCACAAAACAAAATGTTTTTTAGTTAACTATTAAAATGCATAATTAAATAAATAAAATATTATATATATATATATATATATATATATATATATGATAAAAGGTCGCTTTAAAGAGAATCAATTAGTTTCTGATACTACAAATCAATAAATAAATTAAAAAATTAATATTTTTTGTAATTTGATTTCAAATTATAGTTAAAAGATATTTCCAGTATTTAAATTTTTTATCTCCCCCCTCTCTCTTTCTCCTACATCCACCCTTTGACGAAACACCATGTGATAATATAACACACTAAGTAAACTTTGAACCAATTGTAGTCTCACAGTGATACCCACATTTGGTATCGCTCAAATAAACTTTGAGATCATTGTTATACCAATTGTTGTACCATTGTGATACAAATTGTGGTATCACAAGTTACATGATGTGATACCTAAAACATACTATGTAAACTTTGAGATCATTGTGATACCAGAGTGATACAAACTGTGGTATCAGTATGATACCAACTCTGGCGGGATGGGAGGAAGGGAGATAGGTAATGAGAGGGTCACAGGGACATAGATGGAGTTAGCTGTCAGGAATGATCACATGTTGGTGTTTAGTGGTTGATCACCGGAGACGGCGTCTTTGTTAGACAAGATGACCGGAGGAGGTCACCGGAGAAGCCACCAGATTTAATCCATGTACGTGTGTGTGTGTGTGTATCGCACCAAATTAAGATTAATTGATGTAAAGATTCAATTCGTGATATAACCTACAAGTTTTGAGTTCAATTTCTGTAATGTATATTGTTCGATAAGCCGAAACAGACGGGATTTAATGAAGAGAAAAGTAGACAAGTGAATATACAGATACGTACCTTCTGTTAGTAAAATTGACCGAACTCATTCATGATTTGCTGCTGAGGATGAATCAAAGAACCTTGTTGTTGATCTTGTTCTTGCTTTAATTTCTCCATATTTTGCAAAGATGCATAGTTAAACATTTGAGAATTATCGATACCACCACCACCACCGATTCCGTTGCTATGAATGTAATCTAACATCGTACCATTGTTGATTCCATTGTTGTCACCACCATTCCAATATCCTATCAATCGTTGTTGTCTAGATTTGTTGTTATACAAAACCCCACTTTGCGTGATGGGAACTTGACGAAGGTGATGATGATGATGATGTATGGCTTGTTGATATTGTGCTTTATAATCCCTAAGTTCTTCTGAAATCCTTTGGAACTCTCCCAATGGCCCTAAAACTGGATCTTTAAGCCGACAATTCGCTTCCCTGATGAGTGAATCCACCGCCTTCTTTCCGTCTTCGCGTCTTAAATCCTTCACCAATGTGGTCACGTTACTAACCCCGAAAACCTTATGAACCGCCTGAAAATCTTGGGTTTTCTCCGCCGGAAAAAAGGGTGCCAAGACGCACTTTTCTGTGCACTTCGTTCGCTGGTGGCCGCATGATGCACATGCTGGAACTCCGCCACCGCTGGTGGTGGCGGTGGGTGGAGGAGATGGGGAGACTGCAGCCTCAAGAACCCTAAGGATCGCGTTGGGGAATGTTCTGTTGTGACTCTTCTACATCTTTTGGGTGTGTCTCTATATAAATCAAGAATTAAAATATAAAATATTTTTCTAGTTCAAATCATATTAAAATCATAAATAAAGTAAAAGTATAATTTTAAATAAATTAATTAAATAAATTTTATATAAATAAATTACTTTTATACTTTTATTTATTTATTTTTATAATTAATTGTGTAAGATATTATTTAGGAAAAGTGACCATTTTATTTATACAATTACGTATATTTTGATTATTTTGATGATTTTTTCTATTATTTATTGAAATAATTGACCCAAAATTATTATTTTATTCTCTTAAATGCATATTATTCCTGTTTGATCCTCACTCTCTTATATACATATACATTTGGGATACCAGCATGTTTTTGTGAGACTACATTTTTACATTTGAAACTTCACAACAAAACACTGTGAATGTTCCATTTATTTACTTTCACAATGTTTGCTGCAAAGTTTCAACAGTAAAAATGTGTTCTCACGGATCTTACAAAAATACACTAGTCTCACGTAAATCCATCTCTCTCTCTCTCTCTCTCTCTCTCTCTATATATATATATATATATATATATATATAAAAGAAAAATGGTGTGAGAAATAAAGTTATAGTAAAAAACATAAGAATAGATTTGAATAACTTGATCACTTTTAATCTCATGTCTACCCATGAATTATATTTCACAAGGAAATTGATCTGGTGCATCTCGGTGCACCTCATCAGCGTTAACATTGAATTATGATTTATCCAATAATAAAGATTTCTTTCTACATTTCTTATCAAAACTTACCTTCTCATATTATATATATATATAGAGAGAGAGAGAGAGAGAGTTTGTTTCAAATACAACCCGTTGCATTTGTACAACCAATGCAATCTAATAAATTGAGATATTTATGGAAATGATGAGAGTTCATTTATTATGATTTGAATATTTATGGAAGATGAATATGGTTCATTAATTATGATCAATACTTTTATTAGGAAACAATCAAAACTTATATGAAATCACATATTAATCAAATGAAATGGACGGTTGAGATTGGGTTGTATTGGTTGCACAAATGTCAAGGGTTGTATTATAACCAACCTCTCTCTCTCTCTCTCTCTCTATATATATATATATAGAGGTTCAAACGAAAGCACCTTCATTTTACGAGAACGCGATAATATTCTTATCACATGTGATAATATATGTGAGGGACATGGTGATGTGCGAACGACGTGTCCTTGTTAATTTATTTATATTTAATATAAGTTAATTTATTAATTAAAATGTTTGAGTTTATTGGGTTGTTCTCGCGTTCTTGTAAATCACAGGGATTCTAATTTGAACCTCCACCTATATATATATATATATATATATATATATATATATATGTGTGTGTGTGTGTGTGTGTGTGTGTGTACACCCCTACAAAGCATCGATTGCGGCCACTATCTCATTGCCTTTAATTGCTTCCAACTTATGGATTCTCTCCATCTTTTGAAATCTGTAATCCAATCGACATCCATGATACAATTGGATGGATTCCATTTAATCCAACCAAAGAATGAAAGGAGATTCTACGATTTCATCATGGTTGATCCTCCATCTCTAGAATCAACGTCTGCTCATCGTCTCGGCATTTGGTAAATATATGTTTGTTTTTTTGTTAATTTAGTCGCATATGGAGTTAGGGGTTTATAGGCTATTCAAAATTACAGATGAATTTTTCTTTCTTTGTATCAACTCTTCCAATTCATGCTCGTGCAAATGTTAAACACTCGGATAATGGCCCAGCTGATTATGAAACTTGAAAAGTGCAAGCAAATTTAAGCAAGGTATTAAACACAATCAACATTTCAGACTTGAGGAGTGATGAGCGAAACTCAATTTTATTTGCTTTGGTACTTCTATTACACCTCATCGATTATCTATATGTTGCTTTCTCTATATTTAACTCAGTACTTGTTGGTCACGGTTCCAGCATCTTCCTAAATCGAAACGTGGCGCTGGCTGCTACGCTATAAGGGAAATAAAGTTGCGCTTTCACCAAGGCAATTGCTTTTGGTGTAGTAGGTAAGCGCTTGATCCTAGCAATTGGTATCAGAGCTAGGGGCCGCACCGATGTGGGGGGGGGAATGTTGGGTTTATGGGGCTCATCGTTCCCTCGAGCCGGTCAAATCCGCGTCTCTTAAACCCACCGCTCCTGTAGCAATGCAGGAGCATCCCACATCGGTGAGGCGAGGGGGATTCTTCCTYCTTATAAGGAGGGGGATCTTACTCCTACCAATTGACGCGTTTTAAAGCCGTGAGGGGCAACCCAAAGCGGACAATATCGTTGGTCGGTTCCCTGGTTGCGATCCAACAGTACTGTACTCTTATCATGTGGTTGTGAATGGAATGAGAGGAGCTCTGTTATTCTTGATTTGCATCTGCTAGAGAAGGACGTCGGTAGTTCATCTAATGAGAAATGAACTCATGGTATTGGTGTTTTTTTTCCTTGTGATTTTGTGGATGTGTTGAATTAAGATTTCAATCTTTCTTTTTTCGTCATTCATATTTTTTATTTCTGTAAGCTGATCATTGTGCTTTGCAGCCTTGCTCCCTCGATGGTCTTTGTAATTTGATTATTATAATGTAGATACTAAAAACCTCCTTAATTAGAATGTTATTGCTATTCATTTCCCTCGAGACACGTGTCAGTCTAGTGCATCAAAAATTTTCTAACAACCTTCTTAATTAGCAGGTGGTTGTGATACGGATGAAGCAGACAGGGCCGGGCCAGGCCAAGCCGACCCGACCCGATTGAGTTACTAGCCATCAAAAGTAAAGATGGTCAAAATGGGCTAATCCGGCTAGGGACCAGAACCGATAAGAACTGATTATAAAACGATAATCTTGGGCCGGTTATGTCGTTTACAAAAAATTAAGGCCCAAGCCGGCCTGTCCCAATACTGGTTATGGAACCCATGTAGTGATGGCCAAAAAACTGTCCCAAACCGGTCCCAATCAGGCCCTATCCTTTTCGTAACCGGCTGTAACCGGTCCTGCCATACCGGTCGGTTCCGGTCCCATGCCGGTCCCGGTCCCGGTCCTTCGGCAGTCCTGGGTCGGGCCGGTTTGGCCATCACTAAACCCAGTTATGCATAGGCCCGATTCTTTTTTAAAAATTTAAATTATATATTAAGTTTTTCAAGTTTTAAACCAAAAACTTCAAGTTTTTCAAGTTCTTATCAAAGTTTTTGAAGTTTTTTCCAAGTATTTCAATACTAACTTTCAAAAATACTAATTATAAAACATGTATAATGTTTTTTAAAGTGTATTTGAATGGTACAGATAGAGATTTTAAAGTGTATTTCAATAAGACATCGTCCAAGAAAAAAATCTTCAAACACGATTTTTTATATTTTAAAATTGATTTTTGGAAAAGATAAAATTTGGGAACAATTCGGGCCCGGCTCAGGACTGGGCTGTTGTACATGGAGAACGGGTCGAGTGTTTTTGGTCGAGACTGAGACCAGAACCAGTTACCATTGGACTAGTACAAAAGGAAAATTTGGGCCCGAACTGATTTGGGATTAGTTTAGGACCGATTGTTGGCCATCTCTAGTCGAACGCAAGGACTAAGGGGTTGTTTACCAAACTTTTATCATACGTCACTTACCTTACCGGGTGAGCAAATCCAAAGCCCAAGAATTTTACCCAGTAAATGAAAGAGAAAACTCTTACTCGTTAATGCTTACAATGTAAAATATGTTTAACAACGATCCCTTTTTATGAGCGAGAATGTTAGTCGATAAGATAAGTGAATGTAATGATTCTTATCAATAAAGGGTTGTTTTTTTTTCTTATTATGTGCTTAAAAGTAGGTCATAAGAATCATGTAAAAACTTAACCAAAAAGGTGAAGTCTGATTGGTTTGAGCTTGAGTTTCAAAGATCAATCGTGCCTGGAGGTCCCAAATTCAAATCCAATGAGAAATAAAATTTCCTTGGTGGCCACGGAGGTTCAAATGCGGTGACTTCGGGCTACCCGCGAAGCGGGTGGTCATCCTGGGATTTGTCGGCTCGCATAAAGGGTTGGATGTCCATGTTAATTAAAAAAAAGAATCATGTAAAAACGCATTAACTTTACTTAATTACTTTTTGTTTCTTATAAGTATTGTAATCATCTTTGGAATGAAAACTGAGTAGAAAATTATTGTCCCGATTCCCTTCTTTTTAATTAAGCTTCGGTTTTCTCTGGAGTCGAACCAACTTTAAACGAACTTTATCAAGTTGTGATCCGGTTTCCTTACTCAGAAACCCGTCTTTTGCTCTCATTCTTTCTCTCCATTAATTTGGACTTCGTTTCTGATCGAGCATCAAATTGAATAGAATACTTCTTTATTTTAGAGACCCTTCATGATTGGTCAATGACGCTCTAAGTTGTACTTAGACCTAACTTCCCAATAACGTTTAGGGTATTTTTCGAGGTAGTTGTGGAGAATCGTGATTTCTTCTGCTCGTCCCACGCCGCCGACGTCTGCCATGGTGAGAAAGATGCTCTTGGAAGATCTTGCACCTATCATCAGGGTTTTGATTTAGGAATGAATTTTAAAGTGTTTTGATGTACGTTTTTTTTATTGACGAACTTACGAAGCGAATTATGCAAATTGAGGTGTTCATTAGCGGTTTGATGGATTTTCGTAGATGTATTTGTTTGAAGTTATTGATTCATTTGAATGAATTTGCCTCTTAAATGTTTTTAGTCTTCCCCCAAAATGACCGAAATGTCCTCATATGAGGGCTACCTAATGGATGCATTTAATGGTTGCTAGGATGTAGAGAGTGCAAACAATAAATTTAATTTGTAATTTTTTAAAGTGAAGGGACTTAAAATGTAATTAACTTTAATATGTATCTAAGTTAACTCTTATCATATGCATTACACATGAAGTTAAATAGTTAAATAGTTGAGTTCCGGTGAAAATGAAAGTGAAGATGAAAGCGTTAGATGGATCCTTTTTATTGGATGCACATTAGGATGAGATGCGTCGATAAGTAACAGATCAATCTACTTATCAAACACGATTCATGGGTGAGTTTGAAAATAAATGTGATCAATGTTTCATATTTTATGTTTCTCACTATGACGAAAGGGGAAGCATGCCTGGAAAAAAAAAATTCGATTTCGAAAATCCCTTATTTTATACATCTAAAATATGTGATTTAGAAAAGTTCGATTTATGATTTACATTTTTACGTTTTGATTCAGTTTACAGATTTGTGTATAGTTCTAACACCAAAAAATTGGATTATTCTTTTGCTCGTTTTTTTAAGTAATAATTGAAGTTGCTTGTACGTCTCCTTCTCCTTCTACGCATGAGTTGACTTTCCAATGAATTTAGTTGACTTTTGTATTTTAATTTGATTTTTCTAATTGTAGTTTTATTTTTTGTCTTTTAGTGACTTTACTAGCAATAATGGTTGATGATAGTTAAAGTATGTATAATCCTTCTATACTATACTATAAAATTTTACATCTAATTCTAACAGCTACTTTATTTTAGTAATATAATTTCTCTCTCTTACACATTTATTAATTTTAATAACTCTTATTGATTGGATAGAATTAAAATCTAATTTATCTTTTTTTTTTAAGATTTCTCTAAATTTGAAGATTTTTAACTTATCACTCTTATTTCCTCTCTTTTAGCACAACTGTTCGAACCCGGGTAACTGGTTGAAGCATTAACTGGTTACCATGCTGATGTGGCGAGCGATGAGATAAAATTGGGTTGAATAACAAATAATAATGAGTTGATACTACATCAGCATGGTAACCGGTTAATACTTCAATCGGTTATCCGTGTACTTAAATGTCTAAAACTTTAAAATTATAGAAAATAACCTGATTTATTTATATTTAATATAAAAAACAGTTATTTTGTATTTAGGTAAAATATATAAATTTTGAGCAAACCAAAAGGTTGCCTGTAATTGAGGTGTTTGTATATTTTTGGCAATTTAAATGGTTCAAATATGGCAGCTCACGCATTTCAAGAATGTATGGATAGAAAGCTGTTAAGTAGCCCGTACGAGGTACGACCCCTTTCTCAAACTTTTGCTATTTTTTTTTATTATTAATCTGAATATCTAACCCGTGATACGAACCGATTAATTCCAAGATAACCATCTGCTTTATAGATAGTTTGGAGTCATCGTATTTGAACATTTGTGACCACAAGGGAATTTTTATTTCTTTTTGGATTTGAATCTGAGACCTCCTAGTATTTTTGACCTTTAAAGTCAAGCTCAAACTAATCAAACACCACCGTTATGCTTTGCTATTTATTTTTATCATTTCAAAGAAAAAATCAAATGTTATTCTACATTTGTTTTAAAAATAAAATCCAAAATTTGAAGAACCATCAATGTTATTCACTCTATTTGTAATTATTTTTAACTATATAGTTCAAGATAATTTACACTATTTAATCTTATTAATGATTGTTTAATACCTATATAATAATTTATATTATTTTATAAAATACTTAATTCTAAATTTTAAAAATATAATATGTATAAAATTCTAAATAAAAAATCATTAATAGGATATGGATTCATGCACCACTTTTAAAACTTCTCTCCTTTTCTTTTTCTTTTTTCTTTTAATTAATTTTGTTTTATTTTGATTATGTTTTTTTTTATAGAATAAATTATGAATTTGGTCTCTATGATAAAAAAAATTATGAATTTGGTCCCTTGACTTCATTTCTTACAAAAAAGTCCACATATGTAGGTTGGTTAAGGGTTTGGTCCCTAAGGCTAACGACCGTCTATTTTCTTCGTTAAGTAAGAGGGCAAAATGGTCATTTTATTATTTTTCTCAAATTTTACAAATTTATAATTATTTGTTTTTATTATATTGAACTTCATCTTCTTCATAAAATAAAAAAAAGACAAGCCCGCATAAAGTAAGGGGGTGTTTGGGATTGTTTATTTAAAACAACTTATGTTTTTTTTATAAAAGTGTTTATTAACTTATGTGGTATCAAACTAGAGTTAAATAAAACAGGGTTAAAATTGTAAACTGATAATAAGCACTTTTTCATAAGTTAGAAATGATTAACTTATCAAAAACAGCTTATTACCGATTTGGCACCGGTATAAACAGTTTTTTTTATCCAATCACCAGAAAACAACTTATCACCGGTGCCAGACTGAAATAAGTTAAAAAACAGCTTTTATAAGCAATTTCAAACACCCCCTAAAACCTAAACCAATAAACAAATCAAAAACCCTAAATCAAAACATAAATAAAAAAACCAACGCAATTTTTGCAAATATGCTTCATATTATGTGTTTGTGACTGCATAGAGAGAGATGAGAGGGGAAGATGGCCATACCTACTTTGTCTGCTTTGTTCTTGTTGCGATTTTTGCAATATGCTTCGTGTATACGTGTGCGAATGTAGATCTACTTCGGGGTTGTTTGTTTACCTCTTCATATTTTTATTAAGAGACAGTCTTTGAATCGTTAAGAGATGAATCTTGTTTGGCAAAAAAAATATTTCTCTTAATGATTCTAAAACCATTTGAATGATTTTGTATCATGGGATCCCTTAACATGGGCGGACCTGGTGTGGTGGCATGGGTGGCACGTGCCACCGTATTATTTCGCGGCCGAAGGGTAAAAAATTTAGGTTTGTTAACGGTGCTACCGTATCATTTTAGAAGATGCTACCGTATTTTCCTGAAATCCAAATGGTGCAACTAAAACCCAAACAAAAGAAAGCCCAAATAACCAAAACCATACTTTTTGTAATTATTTTTGGGTTTATATTGACCGTTTTCAAAAGATGAAGACGCGTCGGGTACAAATTTAGGAGTTGTTTATTGGTACGGTACTATAAAAACTATATTTTTTGTAATTATTTTTAGATGTATATTATACTATATTAATTATATGGTGCCACCGTTTGAAAAAATTTCTACGTCTGTCCCTGTCCCTTAACCATTCAATGTCCTAATTTCGATGTAAATAATTAACAAACAATTATATTTCAATTTGCACTATATCATAAGAGCCTCTTTACTCATTCCGACCACTTAAACCATTCAGCAACTGTCAAGCAGCCCATTCATTTGCTTCATTCTGGATTTGGAAGATAACGGACAGAGAGAGTGAGAAGGGAGATGGTCGGAATCAATTTCAAACGACGAAACACAAGGATAAAACCACAGGGACGAGGATTTCAGAATTACTTTGATTTCAAGTGATGGGTTCGATTTCAAACGACGAAGCACATGAATGAACCTCCTTTGTTTTCAAACAACCAGATATGCTTTTCCTTTAACTTCCCACTCCATCAAGGGTATTTAACTACTACTACTACCATTACTTTTCATCCATAGCGACCAACTCTGTTTTAATTAGGGTTTTGATTTAGCACAAGGACGAGACACAGGGATGAAGCACATTATTTGGTCTCTCTCTATATATATCCCCCTCATATTATGTGTTTCTCATCCTCCAGATCTTGACATGAACAGGGATGGTGGAGTTTGATCTAGGTTTTTGGGTTGGGTTTGATTCAAGTTTTTGGATATGGATTCAATTTAGAGTTTGATTTTAAGTTTTTTGAATCTGATTTGATTTAAGTTTTTGGATATGGATTTAATTTAAGGTTTTGACTCTAGGCATCACAATAGGGCGGGGATGAGGCGGTTTTTGTAATTCCCAGTCCCGGCCCGTACGGGGATTTACATCCCTTCTCCGGTCAAACCCCATGAAAAATATTTGTTAGTTTGAGTCTACCGATGATCCGCGGTCTCGACCCCGGCCGCGACTTGAGTCTACTGGGATCCTAGGCAACGGGACCCGTTTTAGCAGGAAATCCCCGTCCCCATTCGGATCGGGTGAGCTGGGTTCCCACGGGATCGGGACAAATCACCATCCTTATTTGAATCTGGTTTGATTTAAGTTTTTTAAATGTCTTTGTTGTTCTTGGAGCTCTTGGAGATGAATATTCAAGAAAAAAAAAATTATACATTGATTAAAAAAGGGTAAAGTAAAAGGGAAAAGGTAAAAAGACCATAATGCCCTTGAACTTAACAGAGAAAATGAGTGACTGTTAGTGTGAAGGACCAAATCCGTAAAAAAAAACTGTATATGTGAAGGGTTCTTTCATAATAAATGAAGTTAAGGGACCAAATCCATAATTTTAACATACCTTGGCGATCAAATTCGTAATTTACTCTTTTTATATTTTGATTATTAATTTTTTTTTTCAAACTATTTTTTAGTTTTGGTATTTATATTTAATTTATCTTCCTATATTTATATTCTTATTAAATTATCTTTTACTTACATACTAGAAGAAT